ATTTAAAGTTGTCCCGAAGGTTCCTAAGCACGTCCTCATTTTTTTTTTTTTAATTCTTCCTTCTTCATTCTGTTCCAGTTGAATGTTTATGTCTTCGTTCTGCTCCAAATTGTTGTTTTGAGTCCCGGTTTCCTTCCCTTTACTGTTGGTTCCCTGTATATTTTTCTTTATTTCACTTTGCTTAGCCTTCACTTTTTCCTCCATTTCAATCCTATGAGTTTTGACAAAGATATTCGATCATGTAACCACCACCATAATCAAGATACAAAAGATTCCCATCACCCCTGAAGTTCCCTCCTACCTCTTTGCAAGCAACCCTCACACCACTTTCTATCTTGGTTATCAGTATTATCACTGCTTTCTGTTTAACTGACTGGTATACATTTCCTACATCTTTATTTTGAATTTTTCTTTATCATTTTGCTTTAAATGTGTTTCTTTTAAGTAATATGGGCCAGAATTTGACTTTTAACAAAATCTGACAAAAATATAACAACATTTAATGGAAGAATTCAGTTCACTCATTCTTACCGTAATGAGTGATATATTTGATTATTTCCATCTTACTTTGTTTTAGATTTTTAAACATTGTTGTGAACTCTTCTTTTTCTTTGCTGGGTTGAATGAACAGCTATTCATCCCATTTTCCCCCTTGTTAATTTGGAGTTTGCCATTCTATTAATCGTTACCATCTCTTGCCCTGTTCTCTTAAATACACACATGACTCTTCTAGGATGTGAAACATACTATTTCATGGAAAACAACTATTGCCATCATACTCTACTTAAATTTACCCTCTCCCCACCCTAATATAAACGGTCACTGGGTTACTTTCAGTACCCTTTCCTCCTCCCCTCTCACCCTCCCTATCTTTTATCCTGGGACACTTCCCTTCTCCTTATACCCACTAGCTGATTCCAGAGTTTTGTTGAGATAATTTAATACTTATTAGAATTCCCTTCACAGTGTATTCCATCCATTCCAAGAGTCCTTATTTAGCATTTCTATTACATGATATAAATACATAGCACTATATATAGAAAAATATAGATCATGGTTCGTTGCTCCCCACTGCTTTCTTTCCTCTTCGCCTTCCCCTGTCTTGAAGCCTCTGTTCTGATTCATGTGTTGTTTCATCAGAGTCTTCAAAGTAATTCTCAGATGAGATACTTGGTGATTTTTACAAATCTTTAATATGTTTCTTTCCTCTTTGCCTGGGTCTACTTACAAGCCTTGTCTTTTCATTAACTCACATTCATTTTTGTGGTCTTTTAACTTCCAGGGTAGCAGATAAAAAGAAAGTACTTTCTTTCTGCCTGAAAGTGTGCTAAGATTTCTTGTATCCTTAGAGCTCAGGAAATTTAACTCAAGAACATCTAATCTATTATTGAATTATGACTTCTCCTTTCCTGTTCCTTATTCTGCGGGAATTCAGAGAAATTGCAGTCTCCTGGGTTTGTTCCAATCGCCCATCTTTAACCAACATGATTTGCACCTCCATGTTTTTGTTACATCTTGAGATATTTCATCTTTAATTTTCTAGACCTATTTTGGAGTTTTAGCAGTAACATCTTCTCCTTTTATTTATCTATGGAAATTTTTAATTCTGATACCACCATGTCTAGTTCTGGGTAATCTTTTGAGTTTGTGCTTCACACATTTTTCAGTCAGATTTACTTGTCTTCTCCAGCAGGTCTCTCTGCCCTCTGGTTTGTCTGCATTTCCCAGCCTTGAGGGCTGAGAAATTCAATCCATTAGTTTTGTTTGTTTGTTTGTTTGTTTGTTTGTTTTTGGAGAGTACGGGAGACTCAGCAAAGCCATTGATTGTTCCTGGGAAGCAGGCTGTTTCTGGGGCTTGCTGCCTTGCTCTTGGCTCTGAGGCTCTTTTCCAGAAACTTGTCTTCCATTTCTCTGCCAAGAGCTCAGCAAAGCCCACTTGAAATTCCTCACCTATAGCTGAGAATTATCAGAGGGGGTGTGGGAAGGGAGATCTTCATAGAGTTGCTATATGAACACAATCCCCTCACTCTGAGTAGTCTAAGCATTATTCATGGATAAAGTGATAATCTCCAAAAGACTTAAAAACAGAAGCCATTATTAGGAAGTCAGAACTCAAAGTTACAAGAGACTGAAAATCTAACTTAGGCTGCTTAAGCAATAAAGGAATTTATTAACTTATATAACCAAAAAGTTCAGGAAGCAGATCTAGCTCTGGGCTTCAACACGAAGTCATTAAGACTTGGTATTGTTCCATGTTCCAGCTCTGTTACCCTTCTTTTAGCCAAAACCAGCTTGAAAGCTTAGACTCATCTTGACAGAGGGCAAGATAAGGCCAAAGATGGAGGGGTTTCAGTTGGATGTCTTGGGATGGCTTCTGAGGCCCATCCCAAGGGGCCTCAGAAATTTGTTAAGAACTTCCTATAATTGAACATTTGACCATCCATCCCAAAGATCCTTCTTCTTTGGGCCTTGGGCTTATCCCTATCCTCCCAGCTGGGATCTCAGGAATAAGAGGGAAGGTGGGGCCCCAAAGGGCCCTGGTGGCTTCCCCCTAAGGACCTGCTTCTGGGAGTGTGCTGGGGACAGGATACTCCTTCTGGCTGGACTCAAACACCAGTGAGGCTAGGGAGACCACTAAGAGAAGCACCTGGAGCTGTGGAAGGAGAGAGAACTCCCAGGTATTTGGCAAGGTGAGACAAAGCCAGCTGGAGAAATGTGGCAAGGGGATTCTCAGAAAGCGTTTGAAGTGCATTCGGCTGCCCCAACTTACTTCTTTCCTAGATGTCGTAGGGAACAGCTAGGAAATTGCCACAGACCTAGTGTTCAGTATTGAGGGCCTAAGTTAGGGCATGAGTCTCATTGGTAGACAAGATAAGAAGGTAAGAAAAATAAAAGGTCTTAGGGGAGAGAAAAGGTAGAGGATCCAGGCTTCGCAGACGAAGGAAAACAAAGTTCAAATCACACCCAGCTTCGCATGGAGGGAGTCCGCTACGTTCTACGAACGCAGGACGCGGCTACTACTCTGGAAGAGACAGTAGCCGGCTCAGCAACCATCCTAGGTTGGACCCTAGGAGGTGAGTGGCTGGCCTCTGGGGTTCCCCCGGCTCTTCGCCGCCCCCCCCGCCGCCCCCGCCCCCCGCCCCCCCCCCCGCCCCCCCGCCCCCCGCCCCCCCCCCGCCCCCCCCGCCCCCGCCCCCCCCCCCCCGTCCCCCCGCCCCCCGCCCCCCCGCCACACACACACACCCCCGAAGCCTGGAGACTTCATCTTCCAGTATGCGGCGGACCAGGCGGCATTACGCCTGCGCGGAGGTGATGGCGAGGCCGCGTCGCGCCACGCGGGGGCGCTTGGTCCTGAGCGGACCAAGGTCGCGGGTGCCACCGCGCCCCGCGCGGGTGAGCCGGTCTGGGTGGGGTCGTTTGAAGCCTGGGCTGCGATTCCTAGAGGGTCACAGTGGGGTGGCGGAACCCCAACCCCTGCCCCCTCCAGGATGAAGCCGTCAGCTCCCCAGGCCGAGGCCACGTTGTGCGGTCTTCAGCACAGCAGCCTTCAGAACCCCACATCCCGCTTGTCAGTGGTTCCCCACATCCGGTCCCCGCCTCCAAAACTGTCTCCCCCTACACAGCCCCGGCTGCCTGCTCTTAAGGGCGGTGGTGGGGCCTCTTCTGGGGAGGCGCAGGTTGGGGTCCTACCGTCCAGGAAACCCAGGGCATTTAGGTTGGAGGGGTGTCCAACGCTTTGGCGTCTCTGGGCCACACTGGAAGAAGAGTTGTCTTGGGCCACACATTAAACACATTGTGACACGTAATTACAAAAAATCTCATAACGTTTTAAGAAAATTTACGATTTTGTGTTGGGCCTCATTTATAGCCATCCTGAGCTGCATGCGGCCTGTGCGCCGCAGGTTGGACACTCCTGGTTAGAGTGTGTGTGTGCGTGCACATGTGTGGGCATGTGTGTGGTCCCCCTTCTTATTGGGGCCACCAGGTGGGTCTCAGGTTCTGAGAAGCTGGAAAGTAAAAGCCTCAGCTTCCCCTTTCTTCTGCCCCTCACACCTCAGGTCTGTCAAGCTGGACCTGCATCTCCCTATGGGAAGACAGCCTAGACCACAAATTGTGGAGGGTGCAGCACAGCTGTAGAGTCCGTGGAGAGGGTAGGTCAGTGGCTGGTGAGGTTGCAGACTCTAGGGGATGGGAGAGGGGTGGCTCTGAATGTAAATTATGGGAATGTTCCAGAAGCAGCACCAGCATCTGAAGAGCTGGGCTCTGGCCTCCACTCCTGGCTCCCACCTCCACGTTCCCCCAGGAGGTAGGAAGTGCTCTGTGCAGACAGCAAAGCTCACACTCCCACCACGTGGGGTCTGTTGCAGGTTTGGAGTCCACTAGGTAAAATATAAACACTTTCTGAGAAATTTTATTTAAAAACTTGGGGACATAACAGAGGCAGCAGGATGGAAACTGGTATTCTCCTGCCATGGTTCTCAAATCAGAAGCCAGGCTTGGGTTCCTCAGGTTGCTGGTTCCAGGACCCCTCTAGCTTGTGGTCTCCCCAGGGGCATACCCAGCCAGGTCCTCTTAGGCTCTTACCTGCCCCCACCCCCACCCCCGCTGCCTACTGCCTGGGTTAGAGGGGACACTGAGGTGTCAGAGGTATACTGTAAGAGAGCAATAGTGGGGAGGATCTGGTAAAACTCCGGAAGGAGGAGGAAGTGAGAACCTGGGAGTTTGGGGACTGAGAAGAATCTATAGAAAAAAGAGATGGGGAAGGGGCCACTGCCTCTGCTTCCTCCATCCTCAAGACACTGGGGGCCTGCTTTTCCCTGAGATATCTCCCTCACAGGTCAGGTAGGAGGCTTGGGGAACATCACCTCCGGTGACTGGGCAATGGCTGACTGTCTTTGGGGCTTTGTTGGGAAAGAGTTGTGCCCCGGACAGGGTAGCAGTTTCCCCTGCAACAGAGGAGGCTGGGGAATTGCATGCCTCATTGTGCCAGACCCTCCTTCTCAGCTGGGTGCAGTCTGGCTGTTGGCGTAGGCCTGGTCTGGGAAGGAAGCCCCGGCTCTACGGGTCTGGGCACACACTGAGGCGTAGAGCTCCGGCTCTGGGCCTGAGGTCTGGGGCTTTGTCTCAGAGTCCAGCACCACCTCTGAGTACTTGATGGGAGTTCCAGGGTTCGGTATCCGGCCCTGAGGAGGCCGCAGCTGCAGGCTGGTATAGCACATCACATCCTCTGCGGCCTGGAGATGCAAGGCTGTTGGGAATTCACTGGACCCTTGAAAAAGCACCCCTCTTCCTTTCCTCCCCTCTTCCTCAACCACAACTGACTCACCCTGGTGGGGCCTCCAGGTGTTGGATCCTGTTGGACTGGACCTGGTTCTTGAGACAGCCGTCCTGGGACAGGTAACAGGAATCTGGTCACTTCTTGTTCTTCCTTCTGCAGCCCTTCATCCCACCCACCCAGGACCGGGAGTCTGCGCCGCTCCCCTCTGCCAGTTTCCTACCCGTCTTCAGGTAATGCAGGTTCCCGTACAGGGGGACCTCTTCCACAGACGCTCCAGAACTGCAACACAAAGTTTAGGGGATTAATGGGGACTTCTTGGTAAGGAGTAAACCTCAGTTATCCTATTTGTTTCCCCCCACTCACTGTCCCTCTCCTGGGTGGCTATTGCTCCGGCCTCTGGTCCATCGGAACAAGTGTGCAGCCAGTGAGATGAGAAGCAGCAGCGTCACAGCCCCTGAGAGGGCCCACAATCCCCAGCCATAGGAAAAGGAGGGAATTCCTGTGGATGTGAGAAGATGGGGGGTGGGGGGTGTTACTGCCCAGTCCAACCCTCCAGATCCCAGCAGAGGGGACTAGGGCCACATGACCCCTCCCCCTGCCCCTGCCCCTGCCCCTGCCCCGCCCAGCTTACCGGGTACTAGCGATACTGGCGGCGTGGAGTTCTTACAACTGCTAATGACTGTTGACGTCGGAACCATGTCGGCAGGCACCCTGCCCTGAGCCTAGGTGTAAGCCTGGCTTATGGTCTGACAGCTGCAGCAGCCCCCCTTACTCCCACCCCTCCCTGGGCCTGGCCCCCACAGCTCATCATCCCCAATACTGCTGATGGCAAAGTTGCTGGTTTCCGGGGAGGAAGGGGGAGGGGAGGGATGAGTGAAAGAACAGACACCACCCAGTTGCCTGCACCTGCACCACCCAGCAGCTCCTGAACTTCCGCACTCGCTCCTACCCGGTGCCCCCTCCCCGTCAGCCCTGTACCCGCTTTGGCCAAAGAAGAGAGAGGCAGACCTGTGCCACTGTGTAGGTGAGCCCATGAAGGCTCCATGGGAGGCAGAGGTGGCATGAGGCAGGACAGACAGACAAGGAAGCCAGGCTTTATGATAGAGATACGCCTACGCCACAGGATGCCTGATTTTCTCTCCCACTCTGAGTCTCATGCAGGAGGATGTGTTCCTCAGTAAGTATGCTCGAAAGTGGAATGGGATTGGGAGTCTCCTGGTATGTAACAACTCACCACACCCTAAGGCTGATCCAAGGTGAATGTGCTAGGATGGCCATTGTCATTGCCATTATTATTGGTATAGAGAAAGCTAGATTCCCCCTCCCAACCCACTTCATCCAAACTGTTCCTAAGAACTGTCAATCTCAAAAGTTTCTGAAGTAAAGAAACCCCTGCCCCTGTTCTACCCTGGGAAAATGAGCCCTGTCTTTGCACTTTTTCACTCCGGAGAGTGGAGTCCCTGCCCTGCCCAGAGACAGGCCAATCAGCAAGAGGCTATTCACGTGGAAAGAGGGAGTTTAGGTTCCAAATTTAAACCTTACACCAGAGGTCAGAGATATGTTTTGTCTGGCCCATAAAATGTTTTTTAAAAAATTTAAAATCATTGCAGTGGTGTGCCAAGGACAGGGATGGCAAGAGTGGCCCTGACCCTTCAGTTGCAGGCAATAAGAGGGTATCACCTGCAGAAAATTTTAAAACAAAGCCAACTAAAAATCAGTCTCCTTTTTATTACCACCATGTTCCAGCAATTCTAAAAAAAAATGTCAGGTGTAAAGTACTCCTCTCTGAAAAATCTTTTGTAGATCAAAGTCTAAATTGTTGTGGTTACTGATAAGCTTTAATAGATGGTAATCTACATAGAAGTTGATCTGGAGAACTTCCAGTTAATTACACAATTGGCCCCTGACATAAACAGATTCATCTATGTGTGTTTCTATCTAGAATTAGTTCTTAACAGTTTGGAGTTGTTCAGGCTTGTTTGGCACAATTTCTGTCTCCAACTCCTGTGATAGTACGTATTCCTGCATTTAACCCATAGATTTATAATAAACAATAATAGCACAACGATTGTAAAGTCAAAGAAATTGAACTTGAGTTACTTTTCTTATGTCATGTTAGGTGACCTCTCAGAGTTTTTATTTATATTGAAAATTTCTGGAATTTATTGTGAAGTAGAGTGTTTATAAATCTTTGCCAAACATCCTTATGGCCCAGAAACTGAACCTGAACCACAGGCATGGGCCCTGAGCAAGAACAGAACCAGCAACCTTTTGTTTTGCAGAATATCACCCCACCAACTGAGCCACACTGGTCAGGGCTCAACTGCCTGAATTTTTGACCCTTACTGTTAGTTATTTTTTGTTTTGTTTTGTTTTATTTTTTGCCTTTATTATTTGTTTCATTTCCTGGTTATTACCGAAAATAATTTTGTCCTACAGAAAAGGAGAATTTTTTTAAATGATTCACTCAGGTGTCAAATATGCTAAATATTCCTTGTCAACATTTAAAAACTGAGAAATTTCTAATTTTTAAAAATTTCAATTTGTTGATTTTTTTTTTTTTCCTTTTTGGAAAAAAATCAGAATATCTGACGACAGTGGGCCGAAAATTTCCTAAAGGAAACAATCAGTTGCGGGCCATTTATCATATTATACCTGGCCTGAATCACTTATTTACATTGACTACACCAACTGGCTTGGGGTCAAGCTTTGGACTACACTGCTCTGCAATCCAGGCTGCCTCTGGGTAGTCAGCTAGCGACAACTTCCCTGGGTGTGAGTCTTGACCTGCGGTACCCTCTTCCCTTCTGGAAAGACAAGAAGATATACCGTATTTCATTCATTTCTTTAACACATGAGTACTTCATTTAACACACATGTACCAATTGCTTCTTTATGTGTCAAGTTCTGGAGATGCAAATATGAGTGGGAAGTGGTTTCTTTCCTCAAAGAGCTCTTAGTCTTAGTTAGAAAGACAACGCAAGGTATCCCAGGCAGTTATGAAAGACAGGGTGGAACAGAGGGAGACTATCAAGTCTGCCTGGAAAAGTCTTGGAAGGCAAGAAGGGGGAAAGCCTGGGGGCGGGGTGATGTGAGATGGATGATACAGGCACCAAAAATGGTTGCAATCTCCACCTTGCCTCTTACCTGATTAACAACACAACCTTCCTGAACTTTAGTTTTCTCATTTTTTAAAAAAATCTTAATTTTATTTACCTGTTGGGTCATTTGAAAACATTTACTTCGTTCGACAAGGATTCACTGAGTGCTTGCCAGAACCGTGCTAGGCTATAGGAATAAGATATATGGCTTCCGCTTTCACGGCATTTACAGTCTAGTGGTAATTAATGGACTAATTGACTTCTAAGAAATTAATTTATTGATTTTAGAGAGAGGAAAAGAGAGAGAAACATTGAATTGTTCCACTTATTTATGAATTCATTGGTTGAGTGTTGTATGTGACCTCACTGGGGATCAAACGTTCAACCTTGGTGTATCAGGATGATACTCCAACCAACGGAGCTACCCAGCCAGGGCACTAATGGGCTTTTAATGAATTGATTTTTAATGAATCAAAAGTGGATTGTTCCAGCTTTATTGAAATGTAACGGACATAATAGTGGTTTAAAGAAAGTACAATAGCTGTGTTCGTGAATAAACTGAAAGTTAACGATTCTGTATGAAGGGAACACACGAGCTCAGATCTGAAGGTTGTGTGTAGAAGGGAGCTGTGCAAAACAGAAGGCGCAGGAATCACTAACTTTCGATCAACAACGTACGAGAATACGAGAACTGGAGAGATCACATACTCCTTAAAATAGAGCCGCGCTGAGAATGAGCCCCGTGTGGTTGGTGCACGTAAGAGCGCACTGCCTGCGTAACTATCGCAGCTGACGGATGACACACCCCCCGCCACACGCCGCTCAGCTACCCGCCGAGGCGGGACCGCTTCTTGGCGGATTTAACAGTGAGAAGCTGGGGAGGTCTACGTGCATGTGCACGTGGCACTCTCTGCCCGTGGTCCGGGGACTTTCCCCTAGGCACAAATAAGGAACTAGGTCCTTCGAGTGTAGCCTAGGCAGCAGGCCTTCAGCACGAACTATCCGTGAGATTAGTGGTACTCTACTATTTATAGTTCCACTAGAAAACTTATCTTACGATTAGGGTGACAAAATTGGTGGTCTGAGAAATAAAACTCACTTTCTGGAAAATCTCCTAAGTCTCCTAGAGGCATTTCAGCTAATATAGAATACTTTAATAGGTAAGAAATAAATAATTTCGGAAAGCTGGGCCAATAGTCCTATGCAAATAACACATGGCCCGCCCACAGGCTGAGGTGGGCGTGTTTTTCTGGGGACGACCGAGGAGAGGCCTGCGCGCGTGCGCTTGCGCACTGGGACGCTCCGCGGACTCCCGCGGCACGGGGGACTTTAGTCTGTCGCCTACGATGGCGAGCGCACTCTCGCGTGTGGGTGTGCTGGGGCTGCTACTGGTGTCTGCGCTGCCCGGGGTCCTCGGAGACCGCTCCAGTCCCGACAGCCGGGCATACCCAGGTACCCCTGAGGGTTGCTGGGGGGAGGCTGGGGACTGCCCACGGGTCCCAGGTCCCAGCTCAATTGACCCCACTCTGCCCTCCTCCACAGGGGACCCCCACCAGGTCGGCCATAGGGCCAAGGAACTGCGGCGGCGGTCACCGCCCAAGGACCAACACGAGCGGGCCCGGGCCAGGGCGTTGCCTTTGGGGGCGCTGTACACCGCGGCTGTCGTGTCTTTTGTGCTATACAAGTGTTTGCAGGTGCGGGAAGACCAGGGGTGTTGATGCCCGGGGCCTGAATTTCCTATGGGGGCATTATGGTACCAAGAACAGGAGATACCTTCTGGTCCGTCTATGAAAGGAACAGTAGTTCCCTGGCTTTCCAACATGATCGGGTTATTTTGAGCTTCCAGCCACGTAATGGATGTAAGGGGCGCGTGGCAAATTGTAAATAATGAACATCACATTGAGTCCTCCCAACAATCCAATAAAGAGATTGTCACTTGCTCAGTGTCACTAAGAACTAGTAACTGGTGGACCTGGGATTTGAACCTAGGAACTGTCCATAAGTATAAAAATGGGGTTCCTGGTGAGATTCCTATCTTGGCACAAAAGGTTGGTTACTGTAGACAAGTGTTTAAGGTACCAAGCAGGCTCATGTTCTTGGGAAAGAGACCCTGAAATACGAACTGACAGTGCATTTTGGTGGGTTGAAACGGAAAGCAGTACCTACCTGGGCTGTATCTTCAGACCAGGCCTTGTCACTCAATTACATAGGGAAAGAAGGCTGAACCAATTTGGAGACGATTTAAAACTAGAAGGGATAGCTGATCATGACCCCAAATAGACTTCACAAACTGGGATAAAGGACTGAATTTAACGAGATTTAACTAGGAGAGAGAAATTCTATTCTTGGACCCAAATATAATCTGAAAGAAATATAATAGCAGCAGCTTATGTAGTTAATAAAGTTCATTTGCATGATGTGACAACTCATTTCCCAAATAAATGCCAGGAACAAAGTATTGTGCTTTATCTTCTGATCAGAACATTCCTGTAGAATTCTCTTCAGGGAACTGCTTTAAGAGCACAAACTCAGTAAAGTAACCAGAGAAAACTGTCAAATGAACACTGACTGAAAAAGGTCAGTGATAGTAAACCAGAGACATGGGGAAGGGGTGGGGGCGGAATAACCATTTTTAAATTTCTGAAGGGGCTCTCGTGTTGAAAAGACATGATTTTGAAAGGCTCTAATCAGCACAATGTAAAGTTTCATGAAGGACAGTTTTTGGATTTTTATATAAACTAATAACCAGGGCTTTCTGGAACTGGAGGGAGCTGCTCTTTTCCTAGAGGTGTTACAGTAGACCAATCACGGGTGAGGGCATACTGGCAGGTTGCTTCATGTCCTGGGTGAGGAGCTGGACTAGATGTGATTGTGATTCTGTCAGGTAAAATTCCAGTAGTTTTCTCTACTGCAAATTATCCTTCTCCTCTTACTGGCTTGGAGACTGAAGTGATGGAGAACCTTGTTGCTGCAGTATCACTCTTTCCTTCTACAGCAGGGGAAAAATAAGGCTGCTGTTCTCCAGGAGGAGGCCGGCAAGAAGGAATCATTGCAGTCAGGTGGGTTCTGCAGAAGTCTGCCTGATGGGGATTTAGGGGACCGCAGAAGGTAAGTAACCATTGCTCTCCTTTTTTCCCTTACCTCCAGAGCAGCAGCTGGTCCAGTTGATACAACAGCTGGCCCAGACAGAACAACACCTGAACAATCTGATGGCCCAGCTGGACCCCCTTTTTGAGAGGTAAGGAGAGCACTATGTGGCAGGTGAGAAGTGGGAACACAGTTATGTAGATTGGGCAGCCTCTGAGTGGACATATCTGCAGTGTGACTACCCTGGCTGGAGCACAGCAGGAGCTTTTGAATATGAAGTTACACACCATCCACCAGCTACTACAAAAGAACAAGCCAAACAAGTGTGTGGAGGTTCCAGAACCAGGTAACAGGCTCAGGGTGAGTTGAGTGGTAATAGAGACCAAGTCTCTGAAACTGGAACATGCCAGATCTTCCCCTCACAGAGGCCAGCATACCGTTTCCTGAGGACTTTTGTGTAAAGGATGAAGAAGAGGCGGCTGGTGACAGTCAGGCCTGGGAAGAGCACCTAAACTGGAGCACAGAGACAAGGAACCTAGCTGCTCCTCGGGGAGCGGAACAGGGGCTAAGGAGAAGATGCGGCAAGGCTGCGGCAAAGGGCCCCAGTCACAGCCCCCTCTGGGAAGGAGGGGCAGCAGCCGATGGTTTAGTAAAATAAAGTCTGTTCTTGTGATTGGATGCTCCTGTGTGCTTTTTCATTCCAGCTCGTCGCCCTCATACTAGGTGCCTAAGTACAACTAGCCCTTCTCAAAAAGCTTCCCTTATTAGGACAAAAAGAGGCTGCTTTCCAGTGTGAGAGCTAAGACAGACGGAGCTCCAGTTCTTTTCCTTGTATTCGTGAGGCCAGCGTCATGCCAGCCTTCAGGGCACAAAAATCCCTTTTCTGGTATCAAATAACTGAGATAGAAGGGTCTTTCCAGAAAACCAAACAAACAAACAAACAAAAAGCTTTACTTAAATCCAGTGGAAAAATAAAACTGTAAAAATAGCCACATTTGCAAAGCCACAGCCTTGATAAACGACTAGCCATAGACATAGCACCAAGCTTCTCAGCTCCAAATCCCCTCATCTGTGCTAGGGGGGCTGGATGAGTGAAGGTTCAGTTCGGTCAAACTTGGTTTCCTGATTCATAAGATCTCATCAAATAACTCAGTTTCAGGCAAACACGAAATGACCCTTCTCAAACCACGAAGCGTTCTGTGTTTTGTGTAGTTTTGTGCTCCTGACTGATCCCTGAAGTATCCTGGGTTCTGGAATTTGTAAGATTCTTCTAGTTCTTCTGGCTGCTGTGGAGAGAAGATGGTTCAGGCATTGGCATGAGCACTCAATTCAGACAAAATCACCTATGGGGTAAGGGTGTGGGGAGGTGTCCCAGGCAGACACAGGACACGGGACAGGATCAGAACTGCTCATCTCCAGCTCCTGGACCTCACCACAACACTCTTGCCAAGGGAGGGCACAGCTTACCTGATGGCCAGAGTCAGGCTGTGGGACCAGTGCAACAGCTCCTCCTGGTCTGTGGACATAAGCAGTAGCTTCTCGTGGGGAAAGGACAGCTAGGAAGAGACTACCTCTTAGTGCATGGCTCAGAAAGACCCAGGCTAAAGCTGAAGGCCTTGCTCCTCCCATGTGGGTAATTCAGGACTGAGGTGAGAACTAGGTATGAACCCCAAAACCCAGTCATCCTCTGTCAATGGAGATGGCTCATTTCTGATGAAAGGGGCCCAGGCCAAAGAGATAAACGAGCGCGTAGGTATTTGAGGCCTCTCCTACCTTACCTAGAACTGTCATCTTGTTAACTTACATTGAGCAGTCCACCACAAGGGCCTCCGGAGTGGCCAAAGACCTTGTGGAGTTGACACTGGGCCATGGGGTAGAGGGCCCGGCAAGTGAAGGTGCCATGCTGCAGCAGGTGCAATGCAGGTCGAGGCTTGGCCATGAGAAGCACATCAGAGAAGAGGAAGAACATTCGGGGCCGAGGTTTCCCACGGGGAGGCACCACCAACAGCCAGCCCTGGCGTAGGAACCAGCGACCTGGGGGATGGGAGAGCTGTTATTCTGATGTAGCTCCAGGACCATGATCCATGGGAACAGAAGGCAGGGAGGCTGAGAAAACAGAGGGTATGGTGCTGGTAATATTGAGGAAGAGGGATAAGAAAAGGGCAGATGAGGGCTGCGGGGGAAGTATACAGACTACCTGATGTGATCCCCTTTGCCTGGCGTCCACTGAGAAGAGCCTGGACACGCCGGAGGTGCTGGTCGTTCTTCTGTTTCTGACCAATGGCGTGGACTCTCTGGGCGGTCTCACTTATCAGCCGAGCAGCCCCTGGAATAACATCCCCAGCCCCATTTCCAGCACATCTTTGACTCTGGGGACTGGCAGGAGTGAAAGACAGGCTATACCCAAGGGGACCAGGACCTAACTTGAAGAGTAGGCAGAAAAATAGGGACATCATGTACATGTCAAAGGAAAATAGGGTCCTACCAGACATTGTTGGAAGTCACAACCAGAAAGGGATATAAGAAAGGCAGCCTTTGGCCCGAGTTTTGGCAGAGCAAGAACATACGTGTGAGCTGTTGGTGGTCAGGGCTGTTGGGACTTGTGTTTTCAGCCAAAGCAACAACAAGATTTTCATACCTAAAATTAGACAGTTGGAAGTCTATGAGGGGAAGTAGAGCTGGGCGAAATTCCCTCTGCCTGACACACACTTAACCCCCTACATATACTTGCATTGCAAAGCCAGGAAAGATCTGCTTCTGGCTATTGTATCCCCTCTTTCAAAACCTGGGCTCACACCATATGGCCCTTTCCCATCCCACATTGAAGAGTCAAGGGCAGACTCCAGAAATTGTAAGCTAGGACAGCCTCTCATCTCAGCAAACTCTTCCAAATAGCCTGTCACTAGCCCCGTGACATGTAGCCCCCTCACTTCAATGTGAGTTCTACTACAGCCCCAGCTAGGGGCCTGAGGCTGCCGCCTCCAGGTGCTCCAGTGGCTTCACAGTTACTTTTGCAAAAAGGATTTTAGGAGCAATTTGTCCCAAGAGAGGCCCTGGGGCAGGCCCCATGGAATCCTACAAGCTGAGGGCAGTGGTAAGCCATAGAGATTCAGAAAAGAGCAGTTGGCCAAGTTAGGGGGAATTCACTCACTGCTGGAGCCTCTGCAGAGGCAGCGGGAGCAGGTCCTGGAGCTGAAGGCCCCCAAATTCAGGGCGGCCTTCCTGGAGCCTTACAAATCTCCGGAAACGTTTGCTTTTCTTTAATTGTTCCTGGAGTGAGGAGGAAAGGGTTGGCAGCAGATGGGGAAGCCACTCCTTACCTTGTATTCCCCCGTCTATACATCCCCAGCCTTCAATAAGCCATGTGCACCTAAGTGAACCCCTATCATCCTACCAGGACTTGGCACAAAACTGGGCACCCAAGGGCTCTATAAATGCAGGAACAGTATGAATGAAGTTTAGGTCTCCAGATGAGGAGCAAATGTTTGGAGCAAGAGGGGAAGAGGGGAAGAACTTGAGGTCATCTTCAGGTTACCTGCAGGGTTGTCCGGGACCTCTCTGCATTCTCAGCAAACTGGGTGTACAGCTCCAGGTGGGGACAGAAGCCCTCCAGCCCCCGTCCCCAGTGCCCTCCTTCCAGGTAAGGAAGCAACTTTCTGCGTGGGTGAAGACAATAAAAGAGCTGCCGAAGAACTGCTCAGAGCACATTTAATTCTTATAACCCTGCCCTAGAGGTAGTGCTGTTACGCCATTTTTCAGGCGAACTGGGGCACTGGGCCAAGACCACAGGTGAAGTCATTGGCAGGCTCAGAATATGAACCTGGGTCTCTCCAACTCCGAAGCCAGGACTCCCCCTCATTCCCTCTCCTCATGCCCCTTCCACTCACTGGCTGGCGCTGTAAATGAGCTCCCAGGGCCCAAACAAGGCCTGGCGCTCTGGTGGTCGCAGGGTGCCCTTGGCTCTCAGAATCCCCACGAAATACTACGGAAGGAGAGAACACCGTTATCTAGCCTGCAGGAAGAGGCAAACTCCAAGGCAGCCCCTAAGTGCAGGCGGACAGGACAAGACCAACCCCCTCGGACCCCATACACGGGATCACTGACCTCGCAGAGACCCTCCCACACCCTGGGGTCCCCGCCCCATTCGAGAGAACGTGCGGGGCCCGCACCGTGGCCACCAGCCCCAGCTGTTCCTGGTAGCGCCGCTCGGTCTCCAGCAGCTCCCGGGCTGTGCAGGAGCGTTTCCGCTCCCAGCGGGCACGCTGCTCTTGCACCGGGCACCGAGCCCTGAGGATCGGGCTCTCCATACCTAGCTGACCCGTAAATATTTCCGGACACCGCCCGCCGCAGATTCAAATCCTAACTGCTGAGAGGGCGGGGCACCGTAGAGGAGCGCGCCCCCTGGCGCTGGGAGGCTGCTTGCAGGACGGAGCCTGCGTGGCAGCCTGCAAAACTTCGTTTGGCCTCTGCTAAGGCCTCGCCCCACCGCTCGGGTACCGCTGTAGGTGCGTGACGCCCGCCGGGGTAGGGCTGGGTGGGGCAAGTGGGTGGCCCTCTTCTGAGTCGCACTAAGTTGGGGCAGCAGCCTGGACTTTGAATCAGGGGACTGGGAGGTACAGACATTGGCAGGGCCTCAGTGTCTTATCTGCAGAATTGGGAAAAGTTAATACTTACAGTACCTATTGTACACAAGGGCCCATGCCTGACGCTGGGTCCTAGCGGGGTTCAGCCATTCCCAACGATTCTTTACAACTAGGAACTCTCACGAGTTACAGGTTTGAAATATTTTGCCCTCCTCCCCCCTCCACCAACAAAAGTTAGTAGGTTTTAAGTTACTCGTTTTCTTGTTCCAAAATCTGATCGCCAATTAGCTCTGGTCAGCAGGTGTCAATAATTAATACCGTGGTTCAGGATTGCTTAATTATGTCCAAAGGCAAAAACTTGCAGTTGATTAGTCTGTGCTGTCTAATCAAAGATATTATGTACCAGATTTTCCTTAGTTCTTTTGAAAAATCGGCAGTAGCCCTGAAGCATATATTGGCAGTACCATTTTGTCAGTATGTATGAGAAGTCTTTAAATGTGCCTCGTCTTATGACCTAGCAATTCCACTTCTAGGAATGCATCCTAAAGAGATATGTGGACAAAAATATATGTCCTAAGATATGTGGCACAACATTGTAACTACAGAAAACTGGAAACAACCTAAATGTCCAAAGGTAGTAAATTGGCTAAGAAAATTGTGGTACAGCCATTTGAAAGAATAATATTGAAGTATTAAAATGATATTAAAAAGCTATCAATATGGCAAAAGGTACATGGTGTATTGCCAAGAGAAAAAAGCAGACTACACATCTGGTGGCACAATATGATCCCATTTATGTACATTATATATAACTAGAAGGATAAAGTAAAAATGTAATGGTGGTTTTATCTCTAGGTGATGAGACTGAGGATAATTCATTCAACAAATATTTATTAAGACCTAACCAGTGTCAGGCACTGGATCATTGAGGTTAAAAGGGTGAATGGACCAAAAGGGTGATTTTTTTAAACTTCCCTATACTTTTCTGCCTTTCCTAAGTTTTCTGCTTGAACACACATACATTATTTTGTAATTAGAAAAAAATACTATTAAAAACTAAAGTGTTAGATAGACTTTAGACCCCATTTCTACCACTCTGAACTCCTAGGAATCTGGGCTTCATGCCAGGAACCAAGGTACTGTCAGGAATCCGAGGTCCCCTCTAGTTCTCCAACATTCTAAGAATTCTGAGGAAGAAGAAATGCTGGACTTCTCAGGTAGAAACAACTTGAAGGGCTTGGTGGAGAAAAGAGGGAGTTAGGGTCAGATTGTACCTTGGACTCAGGTCTCAGGGAAACTGGTGATACAAGAGTTGGAAGACTGGTTACAGTCTCAAGAGCATGTGGAACAGTTTGCACTAAGACCTCAAGTAAGGAAGGGACAGATGATCCCATGGCAATTGGTATCATCATGAACCCCGGTGATGAGAACAGAGCACAGCATCTGGGGTGCAGTGGTGATGGGTGAGAGTGGGTGCGCTACCGGTGTGTGAGTGTGCCGCACAGAGCCTCCTGAGGGCTCAGATGGGAGAGTCATCCAACTGTGGAAGAAGAGGGAAAAGCTAAAAAGACACACTGAGGATAATTGGAGACAACTGACTCTCTGGGTGAGGGAGTCCCCATCCTGTGGAGTCCTCCCGGCCGCCGCAGATGAAATGAGTTGTTCCAGATACAACTGATCTGCAAGGAGAAAGGGGTGGTGATTCCCTCTAGTGGAGAATGCCCCAAACCCTTCCCTGAAGTGGCTTTTATTGGAATTGGTACATGCAGGGGTGTACATCATGCATGCAAAGCTTATCAATCCATGTCAAAAGGCAATAGATAACAAACTGAAGAAATACAGAGATCTGTCTTAGATCAGGGTCTGTCAGACATGCTGGCGCCAAATGGTCTCTAAGTCATGGTTCATAAATTCAGGAGTTTACTCCTTAGCTGTGAACTTAAACACTTGGTTTATACCAATAGGGCTATACAAAGCAAAGCAAAGCAAGCTTCAAAGGGTACAATGTATTTTTCAGGCCTGATTTCCCACAGGATCCCTCAGTGTTAGCATCAGATCATGCCTCCTGCCGGCGTTCCAAGCTTTCTGGTCAAGACTTACAGGTGTCTTTCAAGGCCTTGCTTGCATGGGGCTACAGTTTCTGGTACCACACAAAGTCAAAGCAAGTCAGGTACACCCCATAGTCTACCTGGACCCTAGTCTCTATTCCCAACTTTACCTCAAAGCCAAAGGAAGGAGGAGCCAGTGGGAGAGGGTCAGAGGCAGTCAACAACCTCTCTGTCCTTTAGTTACCCTCGACCTCTGCTTTCAACTCACTGAATGCTGGAGAAGCTTTGAACAATCATCAGTTATTCCACAGAAATTAAATGCCTCTCACATGCCACATCCTGTGCTAGGAATGGAGATGAAATAGTGGACAATGAAATATGGCCTCTGCACTTGTGGATGCATATAGTCCAGCATGGCAGACATGGTAAGGAGCCACCATAAAGTGAGATAAACATTACAAGGGACATATAGGCTTCTATTTGGGCGGGAGTGACACCACCTAGAAGTCAGGGAAGGCTTCTTAGAGGAAGTGACAATGTGAACTGATACCTGAAAGATGAGCAAAACCTGGCGGGGCAGGGTTGGCAGAGGGGGAGAGGTGAAAAAGAGAAACAGAGTGACAAAGCTCGGAGATACACACACATGCACACAGTGCATTAAAAAAACTGCCAGAAGTTCAGTGAGACTTGAGCATAGCTTGCAAAGGAGTGATGAGAAAGGAAACTGGAGAGACAGAGGCCAAGCCATGGAGAGAATTTATATCAGTAAGACTATGTCACAAGTAATAGTAAATTCCAAGTGGCTAAATAATAAGATATTTTACTGGCGTATGCAACTGAAAAGTCCAGATGCAAGTAGGTCCTAGCGTTAGTTTAACCTAGCAACTCAATCATATCACCAGGGATGTGGGGATGTTCATCAGGCAGGTGGTTATGGATCTGACATGGAGGACAGAGTCCAACCTTGAGATATTTGGCTGGTAGGAACTTGTAGAAACTATGGAAGTGGGTGAAACTGCTACAAAGAATATGAAGAGGGATATGGGCAAAAGGCATGAGAATCGTGAACACAAACCCAGTTCTTTTCATCCTGTCCATCTACTTCATTTCTAAAATGGCTACTGCCTGGCTGGTGTGGCTCAGTAGATTAAGTGCCAGCCTATGAACCAAAAGGTCACCAGTTTGATTTCAGTTGGAGCACATGCCTGGGTTGTGGTCCAGGTCTCCAGTTGGGAGTGTGTGAGAGGCAGCCGACTGATGCTTCTTTTACACATGGAGTTTCTCTACCTCTTTCTTTCTCTCTCCCTCCTCATCTCTCTGAAAATAAATAAAAATAAAATCTTAAAAAAGAAAAAAAGGCTCTGGCCAGGTGGCTCAGTTGGTTAGAGCATCGTTCTGATACACCTACGTTGCAGGGCACATACAAGAATCAACCAATGAATGATTGCATCAATGAGTGGAACAACAAATCGATACCTCTCTTTCTCTCAAGTCAATAAATAAAAATTTTAAAAAATAAAAAAATTAAAAATGGCTAAGGTGGCCCCCATAAAGCTATATCCATATCCTAGCCCATACAACCTGTAAATGTGAACTTACTTGGAATAGAGTCCTTGCAGACGTAACTAAGCTAAAAATCTTGAAATAAGATCGTTCTGGGTTATCCTGGTGAGCCCTAAATCCACTGACGTGTTTCTAAAAGAGACACCTAGTGGAGCCCTGGCTGGTGTGGCTCCATGGGTTGACTGCTGGCCTGCGGATATAAAGGCAGTTGGTTTGATCCCAGGTCAGGGCAGGTCCCTGGTTGGGAGCATCCGAGAAGCAACCGATGCACGTTTCTCTTGCACAATGATGTTTCTCTCCCTTTCTTTCTCCTTCCCTTCCTAACCCTAACTCTCCCTTATAATAAAAGAGAGAGAGAGAGAGACACTCAGTGGAGAGACAGAGGCAAGAGGAAAAGGCCATGGGAAGCTGGAGGCAGAGATTGGAGTTATGCAGCCAGAAGCCAAGGAATGCCCAGAGCCAGCAGAAGTTAGAAGAGGCTCAAAAGCCTTCGGAAGGGGCAGGGCCCTGCCAATCTGAAACACCTCAATTTCAGATTTCTAGCGTCCAGAACTGTGAGAGAAAAAAATTCTGCTGTTCTAAGCTGCCCAGTCTGTGGTAATTTGTCACAGAAATCCTAGGAAACTAACACAGGTGGTGAGGTGGGCCCAAACCCTATGTCAGCCTCAAGGCCCCAGAAGGGCTTTATTTAATGTCTTTGCTTCCAAGCCATGGCTGGGGAGTAGAGGGTGTTTTCTCCTCCTACCCACCAGCAAATACATTAAATGTCTCCCTGCTCTGCAACACTGGGATAGAAACAGACCCTAATAAGCAAAGATGTGGCCTTAAGGTTGTGCCCCAGGTGGCGGTGCCCCAGTCAGTCAGTCCTGCATATACTCTGACGCTACCTGGAGAGGCTAAGGAGTAAGACTCTGGGAGCTCAAACCTGTTTTGGGGTTTGGCAGACTCCCAGCTGCAAAGCTATGATCCAGGGTCAGAGTCTACATTCCCCACCCAGACCAAAGGCTCAGTCACACACAGAGACAGAGCTCCAGAGAGAGGCGGCACCATGCAGAATGGCATGTAGAAAATTAGGGAGCTGTGACAAGGAGAGGACTGCATCTAGACACCGATCGGGACACTGAAATGCTGGGAGGAAGCAGCAGAGAGGGCAGGGCGATGTGTAGACATACACAGGGCACAGAGAAGTGTACAAAGAGATCCTGACAGAGACTTAACAAGGAAAAAGAAGGAAACATTCAGAATATTTGGAAAGAGGGAAAATGGCATAAACCTGGGACTGGTGTTGGAGAAAGGTGGCCAGACATAAGGACCCCAGACTCCAGTTAGCATGGTGCTTCTGTCTCCTGCACGTCCCATAACCTCCTCTACCTCAACTAGACTGCTTGTTACCACATTCCGTCTTGTCCAGGTCCACCCAATTTAGATAGTACCAGGGACCTTCCAAGTGTCAGCGTCCAACAAAGATGCTGACAACACAGTGGACCAAGTCAATAGCTGGCCACCCAGAGTGCACACTGAATCAGGTTGCCAAGGACGGATGGCTCTTAATTTAGCTCCCAAGATGACAACCTAGATGGTTAGGCTAATTACCTTCTAAATGACTGTTTCGAGGACAGCTGCTGTTCGGCCATGTAAGTTTTGGTATACAGTATGGTAGTCATTCTGACAAGGCAGGTATTTTGGGGTGCGATAGAAATGTGATGTCATGTTCTTGGAACAGTTGTGGCTCCACATGCACAGGTCATTGACAAAGAGCTCCCTGAGAACAAGGAAGTCAGCTTAGTCCAATTTGGTTTTTCTCAAGTCGAGGTAAGGTGATCTGCAGAGAGAAAATGCTCAGTAATGGCTGTTGAATAAAAGAATGACTCACTCACATACTGCCCTTATGGAGCTCAAGGCTGTTGGAACAAATAAAATGTCATAAATCATCCTAATGTGAATTAGATGGTAGACAAGGATATTAGTGAGGGCAGACAGAGCACTGTGGTGGCAGAGGCACCAGAAATCTCTTCCTATGTTGCAGTTAGTCAAGAAAGACTTCCTGGATGAAGTGGCCTTTGAGCTGAGTTTTGAATAATAGAAAGGATTTAGACAGGGGAGATGGTAGAACGGTAGAACGGTAGCGGGTGCACAAAGCACTGATCCACCAGAGTGGAAGCGGGCTGAGGCATTCCAGGTAGGGTCCAGGCCCCTGCTGTGCCAAGCTTTACCTCTTTAGATAAGAGATCAGGAGGAGGTAGGCAGAGTCCTCAGGGAGGAGCTGGGGTAGCAGGAGCACCTGGAGTGAGGGGCTAGTTACCAGCAGAATTAAAAATATTTCAATATACAAAGTCTGTCCAGAAAAAGTCCAGCCATTGTAAATATAATAAGAAATGTTTGAGTGACATCAGTGTAACCTGGCAGTCAAGGGAAGTGGACTGGAATGTGCATATGTGAACAATGATGACTTCACTGTACTGGTCAGTGGGAGCGGTACTGTGTGACCATTGCATTTAAAATGACTGAGCGAGTAGAGAAGCGGATCTGCATCAAATTTTGTGTTAAGCTTGAACATTCCTCCACGGAAATGATTCAGAAGGCCACAGCTATGGGCAGCTGGTGACTGGCAGCTTCATCACAATGCACCCACTCATGTATCACATCTTAGGCAGTTTTTGATAAAACACCAAATCACCTAGGTGACTCAGCCCCTCTACAGCCCAGATTTGGCAGCCTGTGACTTCTGTCTCTTTCCAAAACTAAAATCACCTTTGAAAGGGAAGAGATTTCACACCGGTGATGAGATTTAGGAAAATACGGTGGGACAGCTGACGGCAACTGGGAGAACTATGTGAGGTCCTGAGTTGCCTACTTTGAAGGGGACCAAGGTGTCATTGTTCTATGTACAATGCTTCTTGTATCTTGTATCTTCTTCAATAAATGTCTCTATTTTTCATAGTATGTGGTTGGATACTTTCTGGACAGGCCTTGTATATATTTCAACATTTTTATTTATTGATCTTTAGAGAGAGGAAGAGAGGAAGGGAGGAGGAGTGAGAGATAGAGAGAAAGAAACAAAGATTTGTTGTTCCACTTAGTTATAAATTCAATGGTTGATTCTTTTATGGACTCTGATCAGGGATCAAACCTGCAACCTTGGCGTATCAGGACAATGCTCTAACCAACTGAGCTACCCGAACAGGGTGAAATATTTCAATATATTTAATTAACACGTTCAACCATACAGATGTGTACCTACTGAATGTTAGTTCCAGAGGTCAACCTCCTGAGATGGCCTTACTCTCTCCTGGTTTGTCGAAGCCATAGGGGCCCTACTACAATGTGAGCTACAGAACAGTGGGGGCCGTTCTCCAGCCCAGTGCTGTATCCCTAGGACCTACAACAACAGTACCTGGAAGGTTGGAGGAGGTTCAATAAATGTTTGTTAAATGAATAGGCAGAGACTGGTTACCCCAGGCCTATTCTTGGGGTCCTCTCACCAACTCCTAGTACCCACTCTCCCGCTCCAATCCGTGTTCCACACCAGCCCTCCACATGAACATGGGAACTGGATTCTGTCATTGCTCTGCTCAAAATATTTGATGCCTCCCCTTTGCCCAGAGTACCATTCTCCCCCTTGTTTTTACCAAATTGAACTGCTACTTCACAGCCCCGATCAAATTTGCCTACTTCTGTATTACTTTCTGAGGCACAATTAATCTGTGTCTCTGAAACCTTATGGTAGTGTTTGCCCTTGCTCCCCAGACTCTGAGCTCCTCAGGGCAACAGCTGTACTTCTAGCCTGGTGCCTGATATATGGTAGCTGCTAAATAAATATTTGCTGCCTATTAGAGTGAAAGGCATTCCCAGCAATGAGAACTAGATGAATGAAGGTGGTCAGAGGTTTGAGGGGGAAATGAATAGTTTAATTTGGGTGGAGTATGAAGGCCAGTAGAAAGAGACAAGAGGGGAAGTTTTCTTGGGTAAGATTTTGAAGGGACATGGAAGTCAACTAGAGGGAAAAGATGGGCAGATGAAAGACACTTTGGTAGGCAGCAGGAACTCAACAAAGGTGTTTGAGCAGAGGTGTAATATGATGAAAAATTAACTTACTTTAAATCCACAAGAGTCCCTCTTGTACACATAATCAATTTTCTATTCATACTCAAATCCACCTCCCACCTACCCATCCACCCCTCTCCCCAAGCTCGTGCGGCAGCTTGCCCTACCCCTTTACCTGATCCCCGGCTGGGCATGGGATGCAACACATGGGCTGCTCCCCTCTCAGCCAGAGGACATGGGGGCCCCAGCTGCCTGTCTTTCCCCTTCCCTGCCTGGGCCTGGGAAGCACGCCAGGGTTAGCTGAGGCTGGCTGGCAGGCAGCTGGCTGGTGCCAGGGAAAACCTGTGCAGTGCCAGGTGGTGCTTTGGGTCCCAGGCTGAGCCCATGACCCTGATAACCTTGTGCCTGTGCACATACCTGCCCCCAGTCCACCCCAATCCAGGCTATGGTATCGGGCAGGTGGCAAAGGGCCAGAGAGACCCGAGGGACTTTGGCTCCATCTCTACAGAAAGGCACTTTGTGAGTCAGCCGGTTCCCCTCCAGGATTGCTCCTCCCCCACCCAGCTCCTGTTTCCGATGCACGTACAGCCCGTACACACCGTGTGTCTGTGGCTGTACAGTCAGCCACATGGCTCTCCTGTGCCCCAGACCCTGCCTCCCTCTGTTGATCTCAGCCCCTGCTCCAGGTCCCAGTGTGCAACTGCTGCTGTTACTGCTGCTCTTGGTACCTGCCCATCCCCAGAGCCTATCCCGGATGCAGGGGACTCCCTCTATGGGAGGAGATTCATCTGAAGAAGATGATCCACTGGGCGAGGAGGACCTGCCCAGTGAAGAAGATCCACCTGGAGAGGAGGACTCACCTGGAATGAAGACTGAAACAGAAGAAGACGACTCTCTGAAGATAGAGGATCTACCCACTGAGGCTCCCAGGGACACTCAAGTGCCCCAGGACAATGCTGAAAGGAACAACAAAGGTAAGTGGTCATCAGCCCTCCCAATCTAGGCTCCAGGAGGTTTGTACCTCCTTTCACTGAATCCCCAGCCCAAGCAGGGATTGTTCAGGGAAGGGAAGGAGCCTGTACTCTGACACTAGCCTTTCCCAGCCCTAGGAGCTCTCATGCTACTAGATCCTTCCCCCTTTTCAGAGCTAAAAGGGGACGGTTGGGGAGACAAAACTGGGGCACAGATGGAGGGAGATGAGTAGGAAGAGGTGGGAAAGAAAGGGGAAGGTTGGAGAGGAGAAAAAGACTAGGAATGTGGAGCGAAAACATGGGTAGAAATAAGAGTATGAAGGAAGAGAAGAGGAAGGATGGGGGTACCAGAGGAAGAGCAGGAAGGGCTCACCTGCTCAAGTGTAGATACAGACCTAGGAAGGAGGGAACAGCCAGTAGGGGGGCCCTGGTGTCTTGACTTCCAAGCCAGGAACTTTGGGGAGAAAGTTTAGAAACCAGAAAGGGAAGAGGGATGAGGGGAGGGGAGGGAAAGGTAAGGGAGAAAGGAAAGATACTCTACTGATTTGGGGCTGGGGACTGAGGCCCGCACCCATTTTACCAACACAGTGGTTGCAAACCGGTATCTTCGTGGTCAGCAGGATCTGTGTGGGCCACCATGCTGTGGTGTTATGTTTGGCTGCACTCTACTGTGCTGCACACCTAGCCAGCTTTAGGCATTTCTGTTATTTGCTATGCCTCTGTCAGGCATCTGAGTTTGTGAAGTTCTCCTAGTGAGGGGATCGCCCTCCTCGTTCTGGCCATTGGGGAAGGCCTGGGCTCCAAGAGCAGAGTCCTAATCCTTCTCATTTATGCAGGGGACGGACACAATCATTGGCGCTATGGAGGTGAGACAACCACTCAGTCTGGGCACCCAGCTCTGCTCACCTGTCCCCCAACCATCCCAGAACTCTAGTCCTGGCCGTCCCCCCCCCCACGCCCCCCCTCCCCCCACCATGTGCACGTCTGCCAATCCCCAACATGGCCGGGTGCCTATATCCCTGTGCACTTCCCCGATTTCTATTTCCCGCCCCGTGTCCTCAGACTCCACCTCTTCACTTTTTCTCTCCAGCATCACTTTAAGTTCCGGATCTTATCACTAGACTTCCTATCCGTACTCTCCCACCACAGGCGGCCCGCCCTGGCCCCAGGTGTCCCCAGCCTGCGCAGACCGCTTCCAGTCCCCCGTAGATATCCGCCCGGAGCTCACCGCATTTTGCCCTGCCCTGCGACCCCTGGAACTCCTTGGCTTTGAGCTCCCGCCACTTCCAAAACTGCGCCTACGCAACAATGGCCACACTGGTGAGGCGGTCCCAGGGCGGAGCCTCGGGGGAGTAGCGGAGGCTACCTGGAGACCCGACCAGGCCTTGGGGAGCAGGACCGTTCCCGCAAAGCTTGGGGGTTAGGCTGGCTCCTAGGGACGGGGCCGGGCAGGGTCCAGCTCCCCGGCTCACCCACTCTCCCCCCCGCAGTGCAGCTGACTCTGCCTCCCGGGCTAGTCATGGCCCTGGGTCCCGGGCGGGAGTACCGGGCTGTGCAGTTGCATCTGCACTGGGGGTCTGCCAGTCGCCCAGGCTCGGAACACACCGTTGGCGGCCAGCATTTCCCTGCTGAGGTGAGCGCGCAGCAGCTGCCTGCAGAGGGACGAAGGGTGCTGGGGGAGGGGATCTTGCCCATTCCTACCAGCCCGTTCTCTCCAGATCCACGTGGTTCACCTCAGCGCTGCATTTGCCAAAGTTGACGAGGCCTTGGGGCGCCCAGGAGGCTTGGCCGTGCTGGCTGCCTTTCTGCAGGTACCAGCCCTGGACACGCCCGCTCCCGTCATTCCCATACCCCCAGGCTCAGTGTATCCCGTCTGCAGAGACCTGTCCCAGCACACTCATCCTGGCTCCTGCTTATCCTCATTGGCTCATTAGTTCATTCATTCAACACCCACTGTGAGGGAGGCACTGGGCCTCAAAAAGGATTCAGAAACTGTGGGTTCTTGTCTCCAGCGAGCCCACAGCCAGTGAAGGAGGCTGATAGGGTAAACATATACAAAGGACGGACTAAAAGGAGGTGGTCAGGGAAGGCTTCTCAGAGGAGGTGAAACTGGAAGACTTCATTAGTGGGAAAGAAAAGGAGATGTTCCATGCAGAGAAATGGTATGTGCAAAGACTCAGAATATGGCCTATTCAGGGAATGCCAAATGTAATAAAGCGGATATGAGGAAGAGGAATTTCTCTAATGCTCCTATAACAATAATATCCCCCTTTGTGAAATAAAGTCTAGAGAAACAGTGACCTCTTTGGACCTGTAATGATCAAGGCTCCATACACCGATTAAAGGAAGCTAGTAAAATGGAGGGATGAGGGGACACATGCTAGGCTCACTCAGGCCCTGACTCCTTAACGCCAGCCTCAAAGCACAAAGTTCAGAGAAGTGCTTCGGAAATAACATGGCCTTGCTCCCAAAGTCAAACACATGGACTATCAAGGTGAATGCAGAGGTAACATGAACACAGACGTCATCATGGTTTTCAAGAGTGGGGCCCAGGTCATGAGGGCCCTGTATCCTAGTGGCCCACCTTCCTCCTGCTCCTCCAATTTGCCATTGAAAATGAGCCCGTTGAGCTTGTTAGGTTAGTTTGCAGAATAGGAATAAGTCGATTTTGAGTAATGATACATAAAATTTTGTGTTCCCCCAGCATTCTCAGAGCTGACGAAGGAGGGGGGACTGTGGGAACCCCACCTCACCGTCAGGCCTCCTAGACATAGCTCTAGAGACACGCATTACCTGTCTTGCCCTGTCATCTCCTAGGAAGGCCCAGAAGAAAACAGTGCCTATGAGCAGTTACTGTCCCATTTGGAAGAAGTCGTGGAGGAAGGTATGAAGATGGGGTTCCTCCCACAGGGAGAGGGTTGATGTGTGAACTGGACAACTGTGATCTGATTATACTGTGAAGCTGAACAGAGGCAAACAGGCAAAGACAAACTTCTGCCCACAGGTTTTATGGTTTAAAACCAAAAACCAAACAAACAAAATAATGCAAAAACCAAGTAAGACCAAAACAGTGTTTGGAACTTAGGGATTGCATCTGGAGAGCTAATTTTTTTCTGAGCATCAAATTCTCCTTCATAAGCATCAGATATTTTAAATTTGTAAATATTTATTGATTGATTGATTTTTGAAATCTTTTCCTTCTCAGTCACTCTGGGTCATTTTAAATCTCACCCTACTGGACCTTAAGTTTTGCTAAACTAGAGGATCTGTGCTTTTTGAACTTTGGTCTGTTTTTTATAGTTATAAATATTTGTATTTATTTAGAAGTTACTCTTTTTTGAATAACTGATGTTATTCTATTTTCTTTTTTGATTTACTCTGACCTTACATCTGTGGTCCAGCATGTTATCACAGTATGCAAACCAAGAGTGAAGACCCAGCGGGAGGAACTAAGGACCAATTCTCTCACTCTGTGAGGCTCTGAAGCCTTACTTTCTCCTAAGTTACCTTGTACTGAGCTATGGGAAGGGATACATTTAGTGAAGAAGTGGTTTCAGGGAAGTGAGTCAGCCTGGCTTCTGGGATATGACACTGTATCCCTGCACCCCAGAGCTTTGGAAGGGTGATATCTAGGTGAGATTCTAGCACAGGTCCTTTCTGCAGACTCAGAGACTTGGGTCCCAGGACTGGATGTATCCGCACTGCTGCCCTCCGACCTCAGCCGCTACTTCCGATATGAGGGGTCTCTGACCACACCCCCCTGTGCCCAAGGCGTCATCTGGACTGTGTTCAACCAGACAGTGAGGCTGAGTGCTAAGCAGGTGGGGCTGGAACATGTGGTGAGAAAGGGGAGGCATAATGAAAGCGCTGTGTGGGGAGGAGAGAAGGACGTGGAAGGTGGAGACCTGAGGTACAGGCTGTGAATAGGCCTATGACCCTTTTGTCTCCTTGTCATGAGCCCTCCTTCCACTGTCTAATGACCTCCCTAGCTCCACACCCTCTCTGGCTCCCTGTGGGGACCTGAGGACTCTCGGCTACAGCTCAACTTCCGCACCACGAAGCCTTTGAATGGGCGAATGATTGAGGCCTCCTTCCCGGCCGAAGTGCAGCAGACTGTTGAGCCAGGTGCAGCTTTTTCTGGTACCCGATATTACCATGTCCCCCAGCCACAGGTCTCTCATCTTCCCATGTGTCCCCATTTTTGTGTCACTGGTGGTCACAGCCCCAGCTCTAATGTCTCCTTTTTCTCTTCAGTCCACCTGAATTCCTGTATTGCTGCCGGTGAGTCTGTGCCTCTTTGGCACCTGATGCTGGGGACAACCCTAGGCACAGTTCAGTCGCAGGGCCTAGTCAGGACCACATCTACTGCCTCTCCTTTTCTGAACACACCTCCAACCCCCTTAGGATTGAGTGTCCCATCGAGGTGGGGCGTTGCCTTATTGTCCTCAGGGCAAGAGTTGGTCAGAATGAAGCTCTAGAAATCTCCTAGCATCCTCCTTCCCAACCTCTTTTACTTCATTTTTAGGAAGTAAAAATGAATAGGAATAGGAACTCTTACCCCTCCTTGTGTATCTGTCTTCATCCCTTTGCTGGTAGCTTCTAGATGTGCTAGGGAAGTTAGGGTCGTGGGGAGATACACCAAAGTAGGCCCTTAGGAACCTGCTGACTCCCCTTCACACTGAGGCAGCCTCTGCTCTCCCTACAGGTGATATCCTGGCCTTGGTTTTTGGCATTCTCTTTGCCATCACTAGTATTGCCTTCCTTGTGCAAATGAGAAGGCAGCAAAGGTACGTATTATACTGACCCCCTCCCTCAGGCACAGCCCCTGCTCCCTACGTGGAGTCCAGAAGAGCATCATGCAAATTCCGCACAAATGGGCTCACCCTGGGCCAGTTTTCTGATTAGGCTTCCTTGTCGCATAGACATCCAAGTGGGACCAAAGGGGCTGTTAGCTACCATCCAGCAGAGGTCACTGAGGCTGTTGCCTAGAGGCCTGGAACTTGGAGAACGTGCGAGAAGCCGGCAAGAGGAATCTGAGGGGCAGCTGGAGACTTTGTTCTAGCCTGATCACACCGCTTCCTTTTTAATCACCTATTTTTCTTTAAAGAAGTGTTTCTAATAAAATATGTGGAAGGTAACTTTGTTCCCCAAATCAGAGTGGTGTATCCATTCCCTACTGCTGCTGTAACAAATTATCGCAACTTAATAGTAATGCAAATTTATTCTCTTAGATTTCTGGAGGTCAGAAGTCCAAAATGAATCTTATGGGCTAAAGTCCAGGTGTCAGCAGAGGCTGGCTCCTTCTGGACACTGAGGGGAGAATGTTTCCTTGCCTTTTTCAGCTTCTAGCATTCCTTGGCTAGTGGCCCCTGCCTCGCATCACTCTAACCTCTTGCTTCCATTGTCACATCTCCTGCAACTGCTTTTGACATTTTTGCCTCCCTCTTATAAGGACTCTTATAATGACACTGGGCCTATCCAGATAACCTAGGATAATCTCCCCATCACAAAATCCTTAGCTTAATCACAAGGTCCCTTTCCCATGTAAGGTAACATTTCACAGGATTGGAGCGTGGATGCCTTTGGTGGGGAGGGGGCATTCTGCTACCAGGAAGGGGGCAGAAATGACTGAGATCATTGAAAAGGCCAAGTGTGTTGTATGTAGACCAGAGTATATGGGAGTAGGGCAGGCTCAGTCCCTAGGCTTAAAATCACTTGAGGCTTTTGGCTTTCACCCTCTTCAAGTAAAATCTGTGCAGCTTTGCAGTTTTACCTTTAGATGGTGCTGTCTGGCTCAGCCACGTGCTGGAATAGGGCAGATGGAAATGGATACACCACTGATGCCGACAGCAGCTCCTTTGCCCTTTGGGGAGTTAAGGGCCAGGATGTGCCTCCAGCCCCTCTGCTTCACACTGCCTGTTCACAACCCTCCTAAATGGGCACAGCACCCCCACCCCTTGGCCACCATTGAAAAGGAAGTCTTGTAACAGAGTATGGAACCAGGCCCTGCTCACTTGGGGGTCCTTCCAACTCTACTGCTTCCCTCAGGTACCCTGTCAGCTTGTTCCACTTTGGAAAACTACCGCCACCATTGCCAACACCAAAGAAAGGCTTAAAGGGCCCTGTGATGCCAGTAACATTAGTTTTATTGGGTTGGGGCAGCAACTATAGCCTGGCTGGAGGCAGGGCCAACCCTCACAGGTTGTTGAGTTCCAGCAGGGTCTGGTCGAGGGTCTGGTGAATCTCCACGTTCTCCTCCTTGGCACTGGCCAAGGTCTCTGTGAGAGGAAGCAGCACATGAGGAGGTGGAAGGGAGACATGAGGGGAGATCTGTGGGGAGGCATGGACAGGGGATGTGACAAATAGACACAGAGTGGGTTGGAGACACATGGAGACACACGCATTCACGGGTTTGAGGTCTCTGTGGTAGGAGCAAATGGATGGATCGATCAGGACAGGCATGGATACCTTACTCTAGGCTTTGGGATCACGGAGGGGAAATGGGAAGGCCTGAATCAAACTAATGTACCCTCCTTCTTTAGAAGGATTAAGAGAGTTGGAAACAGAAGGTAGAACAAAAACTGAGCCAGGAAAGGGAAGGGCAGACAGTCAGACAGACTTGAGGCAGAAAACAGACCTGCAGTGAAAACCCCACGTTGCTGGCATCCAGTGTTTTTCCAAACTTCATCTCAGACCTTTCACAACCTTCTTGCCCCTCCTCTGCACCTCACCCCCCATTTCCCTTCTGGTCATTCCTTGATGTCCTGGAACCCCAGCTCAGCATTCCGAGGTCAGCGCCAGGCCTAGGTCGGCAGAGGCACCAGCGGGTGACTGCTAGGGCCCTATCATGCCCACATGCAGCGGTGACAGAGTGACAGGCTGGGAGTGCCCGTGCGGAGGACTTCAGTGTGGGCCGCAGAGTTTGGTGGGTGTCACAAGATAGGGGGTGTCTGTAAGAGCCAAGGTCTCAGCAGTGCTATTGTAGGGGTGAAGGAAGTGCTCTCTGGAGGGCAGGAAAACAGCATGGAGACCAAGATGAGTTTATTAAGCAGCAGAGAGAGGTAGAGGCTGGTGGGTGGAGGGCGGAGTGGATCAATAGAAGGAAGAAGCAAGTGCCAGGGTGGGCAGCACATGTGATGGGTGCTCTCCTAGGCTACGCCCAGCCTGGCTGTATAATGTTGGCAATTTTTGCTCCTCCTGCCTGACCCCTCCTCAGAGAGAGAACGGAAAGGAGAGGACAGAGGGGCTGAGGGGGCCACACTGGCGAGGAGCTTAGAGAGAGGTGATGTCATTGAGTGCGTTGTCTAGTTCCTCGCTGATGGCCTTGTACTTCATCTTCTGCGCATAGACTTCATCTGGAGGGGGTCCAGGGATGGGTGGGAGTGTGGGGCGAGGGAACAGAAGGAAAGAGGAAAGGATCGAGGAGGATAATGGAAAGAGAGAACACAAATCAGAGACAGGTGGATAAAGATCAGTAAGAGAGCAGGCTAGACAGTTGTCAGGGCTACCTCCTCCCTTCTCTGTACCCGTGTCTCTTTTGTCCTTCTCTGCACCCTAAGTTCCTGCATCCTCTAGGGACCTGGGGGCACAGTGCTTTGAATAAGCGGGAGTGCTTGCTTTAAGGGAAAGGTTCTCAAGCCAGAACGATCTAAAATCCTATAAAGTTGGAGATAAAATTGAGGCTTGCTTGAGAAGGCTGGAAGCAAGAGAAATTGGAACTACGAAAGTGAAGAGTTGTTACACAATAGAAAGGAAAGGCAGTTTTAGGTACAATGTTGATGATAGTGAGAAACAGTCACAGACTAGCAAATACCTGGATGATTGTTTTAACTAAATCTAGCTTAAAATAGTACTTTTAACTAATGTTGTCTTGCAAACCTAGATATTAAACATAATAGCTCTCTGCATAATAAAGAAGTCTCTGTGATACAGCTCTACTGTGTTGCACTGAGAGACAGAACTGTCTAATTGAGTGCTACTTAAAGTGTGGTCTCATGACAAACAGCAACATCGGCTTTACCAGAGAGGCTGTTAGATATACAAATTCTCCAGCCCACAGTCAGCAACATTTCGGAGCAGGACCCAGGAATCTGCATTTAAAAACCTCTGGGGGAGCTCAGGCACACTCAAGTTTGAGAAGCACAGGAGCTGTATTTGGTTACAAGTACTTAAACGGTAGGCACGGATCACCGGAGTTTGTGTAGTCCTAGCTGGTCCAAACCGAACTTCTCGGTGGCATATATAATGGGATGTGAAGATAAGGGACGGGCTGGCAGTCATGGGGAGTGCAGTTTGGGGGTACAGGGGAGATCTCTTTTACCTTCCAGGTCATCAATGGTTTTCTCCAACTTTGCCACAGACCTTTCAGCAAACTCTGCTCGGGTCTCAGCCTGGGAGTAAAAGCAAGGTGTGCAAATGACAGAAAGTGAGCCCCTCCCAGGCACTTTTGCTGACGTCAACCTTCTCTTCTACCCCATCTCCAAATTCCCTGCCACAGGCAGTCTCTGGTAGGGACTGGGGGGCTTGAGGGGAGGGTGGGGACTGGAAGGACTCTCACCTCCTTTAGCTTCTCCTCCAGCAGTTTGATCTCCTCTTCATACTTATCTTCTTTGGTGGAATACTTTTAGGGACATATACACGTCATTAGTAGACTGCCTCCACAAATCATTTCTCCTGAGCCCCACGGGCCACTTGTGACCTGGTCTCCATGGAGCACCCAGCCCCACCCTGCCTGGGCCTGTTGCCTCCCTCCCTTGCACGACCCCATCCTCACTGCCCTTCTGCCCCCCTCTACCTTGTCCGCTTGGGCTTCCAGGGATTTCAGGTTGTTGGTAACAATTTTCAGCTCCTCCTCTAGGTCCCCACATTTACTGCAGGGGGTGTGTGGCAGGATGGGGTGGGAAGGCACAGTGTGGGGAGACAGTGGAGATGATGACACAGTGGGGGAGGGGTAGAGAAGAGAAGAGAAGAGCAAAGGTGTGAGAGTGAGAGCAGGCAGAGTTTGGAAGCCCCAGGCCCTTCCCAACCCCCAGCAGATCAGAGAGAGCAGCCTGAGGTGGACGGGAAGGCGAGATGAGAGAAGGTGCTGTTGCTCAGAAAGGTCCAGAGAGGTCACTACCTCCTCCTCTGAGGCCATCAGGGACTTGAGGGCCTGGTCCATGGTTCGAAGTTCCTCCTCCAGCTGCCTGGCTCGGCTGGGGGCAGCGGGTAGGGGTCAGAGGACAGGACCTGTTTCTATGGCCCAGGCCTGAGAAACTGCCTCCCCACTGTGCAGCGTGCCCCAGAGCCATGGGCTCAGCTAAGTTTCACTTGCCACCCCAGGGTACCCTTACCTCTCAGCCACCTCAGCTCTTTCTTCTGAGCGCTCCAGCTCTCCTTCCAGGATCACCAGCTTCCTGGCCACCTGGAGTGAGGGGGGAGAGAGAAGGAATAGATCCATGGAGAACAACGGGGAGGCGGGGGGTACAGCTGGGGGGGGGTGTTGGGGGCTTGGTAGCAAGAAGAAATTGGAGCGGGGCTGTCACCTCCTCATATTTGCGATCTGAATCCTCCGCAATGTGCTTGGCCTCCTTCAGCTGCATCTCCTGCAGCTCCATCTTTTCCTCATCCTTCATGGCTCGGTTTTCAATGACCTTCATTCCTCTGAGAGGCAGGAAGAGGAGTGGGGGTGGGGTCAGGACCCAGCAGAAACAGCCTCCCCTGCCTCCCTGGCTCCACCCCTGAGGGCCCCCTGCCCACCTCTCGCTCTCATCAGCTGCCTTCTCAGCTTCCTCCAGCTTTTGCAGGGCTGTAGCCAGACGCTCCTGTGCCCGGTCCAGCTCTTCCTCTACCAGCTGAATGCGGCGGTTCAGGGAGGCCACATCTGCTTCGGCCTGTGGGTCAAAGGTTAGAGATCAGAAAGGCTTTGTCTACCTTGGTTGAGGATCAGCGAGGCTCCAGAGGATGGTAAAACTCTTATTAGAAAGACCCTAGGCTCCCTGTCTTCCAGATTTAAACCTATTTTTTACCCCCTAGACAACCATCTATCTTCTGCCCAGACTCTATGCTCCAGCCCCAAATAGCATTAATTCCTCGACAAACTCCACTTCCCTGCTACAGGGCCAATTCAGGCACTGAGCATAGTTACGCTCCCAATGGTCATCTGCATGCAGGTCTCTCTGCCCAGTCAAAGAACACTCCAAGGGCTCGGACCAAGTCTGAGGCAGCCCTTACTCCACAGCAGAGCCGGGCCCAGGTAAGGGGGTGGGGAAGACCCAGGCCAACCAGAGCCGCAACGCTGCTAGGAATAGCCAATCATATAATCAAGTTCAAGTGATGTCACCAGTTGCTAGGCAGACTCCCAGACAGGGGTTCTGGAGGCAAGCCAGACCTGCATGGGGCATCCATGGCTATTAGCAAGGGGTTCCCTGCCAAGGAGAAGAGGCAACTGGGGGCGGTGCAAGGGCAGTGTGAGTGATGGATACTCAGACACTGATCCTAAAATAGAGAGGCAAAACCATGGAGGTTTTGGAAAAGTTCCATAAAAACTGATGATGCCTTGAGAAAGAGAGCAGAGCAAGAAGGGCGGGCCCCAACAAAGGAAAAAGAGAAGCAGTACAGTTTGGTGCTGAGAGCATGGGCTCTGAGTCAGACTGTTGTCTTAGAGCCATGGTCAGCCACTCAACACTTGTGTGACCTTGGGCAATTTATTTAGTCTCTCTAAGCCTCAGTTTCCTCCTTTTTAAATCTGAGTTGACAATAGCAATTCCTTCTTCATAGTCTCTTCTGAGACAGTGTAGTATTTTTAAAAAATATTTTATTTATTCAATTTTAGAGAGATGGGAAGGGAAGGAGAAAGAGGAGGACAGAAACATTGATTTGAAAGAGATACATCGACCAGTTGACCTGGCCTGCAACCCAGGCATGTGCCCTGATGGGGAATCAAACCAGTGACCCTTCGGTTTGTAGTCCAGTGTTCTGTCCACTGATCCACACCAGCCAGGAGTACTTCTAATACTTGATTAATCAACAGGACCATCTAGGAGGCTTATATAACTAAACAGGTTCTCTAGCTCTGTTTTGTTTTAGGTTTTTGTTTTTTTTTGAAATCCTCACCCAAGGATATGTTCATTGATTTTAGAGAGAAAGGAAAGGAGAGAGAAAGAGAGAGAGAGAAACACTGATCAGTTGCCTCCTATATGCACCTCGACCGGGGATCAAAACTTCAACCTTTTGGTGTACAGGACGATGCGCCAACCAACTGAGCCACCCAGCCAGGGTTCTAGCTCCTTGCTAGATTCACTGATCTAAGTTCTCCAGGGGCAGGAACCTAGAAAAATTTTTTTAAGCTCCCATGTGATTCTGATGATTTTGGGAAATAAAATAATATGCAAAAAGCACTTGAGCACATTGCCTGCAGAGTCCACACTCCATAAATGTTAGGTTAATATCCCTGGTTCTTCCTCTTCCTCAGAGACAAAGACATAGAGGCCCTAAGATTTAAGATTGGAAAAGAGAAAGGATCAGCGTAGGGGAAGAAGTGAGAGGAAAGAGATGGGTGGCAGCACCGGGGGCAGAAGGGGTAGAAAGCATATCCTGGGCGGTACTGTCGGGTGGAGGAAACACACTACCATATATAGAAAGCAGTAGCTTGTCCTCCAGGTGCTGAAGGCCACCTACAGTGACAAGAGCCCATCGTGGGCACAGAGCCAGATGACTCAATGTGGAAGGACTCTGGGGAGAGCACTGCGGGTCGGGGAGAACAACATGGGGACATTGTGGGTATGTACTGCAGAGAGAGATGAGACTCTGTATAACTCTAAGAAGTCCTGGGGTCCTCATGACAGGACTGACATTTACCATTTTCTGCTTTTCAAACTCTTCTCGGTTATGGATGCTGCTCTCTAACCATAGACAGGCACTACTGTCTCCACTGGACAATTAGGAAGCAGGAGAGAAGGGAGAAGTGGAGGTAGGAACTGTGTAAATGCTGCATTCAAGGTCACAAAATAAGTTTGGGCTCTTTCCTTTCTACTTCTGGCACTGCTGTCCTGCTTCCCCAGCTCTGTCCCTGTCCACTCTCCTTCCCTCCAGCCCCCACCCAACTCCTTGGGTTTCCAGTCTTGCCTCCAGCTGCACTGGGCCTTGGTTATTTATAGAGTATCAGATGCCCAGGGTTGTCTTTGCTAGCAGCTGCAGGTCAGTTCCCTCCCAAGTGCCAGGGCTGGTAGAGAACCAAAACCAAAAGTTGGAGGTCAGAGAAAGCTGCCCAGGGTGGGAATGGGGGGAGGGAGCTGGGGAACATGGATAATGGTCAACACAAACAGTAATGCCCTTTCTGATTTCATGGTCTGACCATGCCTACGCTAATCCCCCCACCCACCCAACACAACTGTAGGCTTATCTTAAACTTAAAACAATCCTGGGCTCAAGGCAGATAGGGAAACTGAGGCAGGGAATGGTACAAGTAACAATGTCCAAAGTCATATGACCATTCCCCTACCGCAAGGTGGGGGTTGGGAATGACAGGAGGTAGAGAAGTCTGGTTAGGGGGTGTGGGCTGGGCAGAGAAATCTGAGTGAGCAGGACCTGCCAAAGTGGCTGCCCTGGCATTTGTGGCCCTGTCCTTTTGCCCTGTGGCCTGGCATAGTCTGGAGGCTGACAGCTTAATGAGGGTAAATGAGGGGCTGTTAGAACCTGAGCTGGGGCCCCAATGCACAGCAGGGCCACTGGAGCCAGAGGTCAAAGCCAGGGAATTTCTAATGCCCCCCCCCCCCCCCCCCCCCCAGGAGTGTAACTCAAGTCAGGGCCCATTTCCAGATTCCTCTCTCTCCTCCTGCCTAACACCACCTATACCCACACCCCACACCCCACACCTCGCATATGTAGCTGTAGTCTCCTCTCCATTTTCAGCTGGAGGATTAATTGAGGCGGATGGTAAATTCTTGTACCACCCACCCCCACGATGACTCACTGTTTGATCACTGTACATTCAAAGAGCTGGAGCCAAATGGAATTACAAATCTATGTCCTCTGGGGAAAGCGGTAGGTGGTTTTGATTTACCCACTAACTTGGATTATTTGTGCAAGCTTGCCATGGTCCGGACTCCTGGGAGGAAAACATTTCAGTCCTGGCGTTGGGATATGTAGCTCCCCTTCTCCCTTCAGCCCCATGTCCAGGACCCCTCCCAGTGCACTAACTCTCCCCGCATCCCCCCAGATCCACACTCACGTCGGTGGCCTTCTTCTCGGCCAGCTCCAGCTTCTCCTGGGCGTCCTTCACTGCTTCTGAATACTTTTCCACTTCATCTTCCGTCCCTTTGAGCTTCTTCTGGAGGGCCTGCTGCTCCTCCTCCAGCTGGGAGAGAGAAACCTCCGTTAGCCAGGCCCAGGCGCAGGGAGGAGGCAGGGGTGTGCGTGAAGGGTTACTGAGGGATATTTGGAGGATGTCAGGGAGGAAGAGGGATAGCAGAGGAGGCACAGTGCAGCCAGGGGTGTTGGAGGGATCTAGTGGGGGTAGAGAGAGTTCCCAGCCCCAAGAAGCAGGGCTCATCATTGCTCTGCAAGGGCAGGAGTGGAAATTAGAGGACTGTGGCTCCCCAAGCTATGGTGGGTGCTAGGAACTGTGGCTCTGGTTAGGTCCCTGAGGGTACTGTGAAGTGAAGGTCCAATCCCTGCACTGGACGGGAGAGCCCTGGAGAGCTGGACCTAGGATAGGGGACACAGGGCAGGGCCTACCCTACTCGTTGGGGGTCGGGTGGTGCAAGGGGTTACACTAGGCCCTGGGCCCTCACCTGTTTGCAGCGGTCCTCAGCTTGCTTCTTGTCGGCCTCGGCCTGCTCAGCGCGGTCGATGGCATTCTCCTTGTCCAGCTTTAGCATCTGCATCTTCTTCTTGATGGCGTCCATGGCTGCGGTGGGGGACCGGCGGGCCGGCGGCGGTGCGGACCGGGAGAAGTGGGCTTGGCTGCGCGGATTGGGCGCACGGGTGGCGAGCAAGGAGGACCCAGCGGGACTGGGATGTTCCAGCCGCGCGAGTGCCTAAAAGGCGGGGAGGGACCGGGCGGAGCCGGGGGCCGGGACCCTCCCCCACCGCGGCCCAAACCTTGTAGGGGCAGAAGCACTGCTTGGTCGGGGGGCGCGGTCGCCCCCTGCGCCCACCCCCTTGGGACCGCCTCCCCGAGGCCCCGCCCCTCCGTTACTTCCCCTCCCCTCCAGCCGTCGGAAGGGAAAGCAACCCGGACTGTCTGCTAAAAATCCTAACAGCGGAGGGGAGGGGAGGGGACCCTTGGGCTGGGGGGCTCCGCGTTTCCTCTGAGTGACAGCCCGGCCCAGTGGCAGCTGCGGCTGGGGCCCCTGGGGCTATTTCGGGGCGTGAGCTCACGGCAGCTGCCCCGGCACGGGGACCAGAGTGCTCCCTCACCCCCCTTAGCTGCAGCAGCCGCTGCCCTTAATTTAGAAGTTTCCTGTAAATCCCCCCAGATTAAATGTCTCTTGGGAGGCGGGGCTCCTCCGCCGTTGGAGTGCCTCAGTTTACCCTGAGTCCCAGGCTCTGGACATGCGTTACCCACGTGGCAGTGATAAAGGAAAGCCTCACCAGGGACTTGGGGAAACTGAGGCAGTAGGGGAGTCCAGAGCCAGCCCCGGTCGCAACGCAGAGCGCGGCCCGGGTTGTGCCCCCGAGGTTGGGCTTGACCTCTCCTCCCCTCGCTTCCCCTTCCAGCCACATTCCCTGGAGCCAGGGCCCCTCCTCTACAGTCGCCGGGCCGCTGGGAACCCAACTCCGCGCTCCTGCTGCCCCGCCCCCACGTCCCCCGCATATTTTCCACGCGGCTGCAGCTGGACGATACGCGCTCGCCGCCCGCCCTCAGCCCCACCCGGGACGCGTCCCTGTCCGCCCCTCCTCGCCCCGCTCCAAGCTCAGGAGATCGACCTCCTCTCCAGGCGCCCCTGCGTCTCCCCCGCTTCCCCTCTCCCTCGTAGCTCCGCGCGCCCTCCCTTCTCCTTTTTCCTCTGCGGACCCTCCTCTCTTCCCTTGTGGGCCAACTTTACGCCGAAATTTCTTTTCTGCCCTTTTTTGGGATGTTTCTCCGTGGGGAGGCGGGGCCGCGCCCGGCCGGGGGAGGCTGGGGACAAGGGGAAGAGTTACCGAGCGGCCGGGCGGGCGCCGGGAGCCGGGGGAGAGATGCCCGTCTCCGTGGCGGAGCGCAAGGAACAGTCCCCAGACCCACGTCCCAGGGTCGTAAAGTCTGAAGCGTGGGCGCGGGGCTGCTTTTGTTTTCGCTCGGGGTGGGGGTGAGGTGGGGGAGAGGAAGTGGGGAACCGCCTCGCAGGGGTAAGGGAGAGCGAGCAGAGGGAGCGCTTTGCCTTGCTTCCCAGGGGCAGAGGCGGGGGAGGCCTGGCTCTTGCTGGTCGGGAGTGGAAACCGTGGGAGCCGTGGGCTCCGGCCCGCGGGCGGGGATGGCGCGTAAATGTATTTAGATCTGCTCAGCTGCCAGCTGCTACACATGGAAAATACCTGACTTCATACAGTTAACTCCAGTCTATCTCCCTGCTTCCCCAAAACTCATGGAAGACACCTCCACCCATCTGTAACCAGTGCTTGGCCCCTGGACATGCCCAAGCGCTCCCGTTTCGCACTTTGCACATCCACTGAATTTCGTAGATTGTACTTCCTGCAAATGAGGTTCCTCTTTAGAGCTGCTGGGATTGCCTTAGGCAGTTCATTTTATTAACTGCTGCCTGGATCTGTTCTGGTCTTACTCCCGATTCTCCAACTCATTCATTCATTCAAAAAGTCCTCTACATTGCTACCAAAGATTTTTTTTTTTTAAATATAGGTGTTCCTTAACCAACAGTTTCATTTTATTTCCCTCACCTGAGGATATGTCCATTGATGAGAGAGAGAGAGAACTATCAGATGCGTTCTGTAGGCGCCCCAAGCGGGGCCGGGAGGCGGGTGAGAGGGGGTGGGGGGTAATCAAATCCGAAACCTAGGCGTGACTTGACCGGGAATCTAACGGGAAACCTTTTTGGTGTACAGGACGGCGCTCCCACGCTCCGACCAAGGGAGCCACCAGGGCCCAGTTCTTTTTAAAAGTTGGTGCGAATGTGATCCTAAAACCCTCCCAAACCCCTCCCTACTCCCTCCCTCGAGGAAGAAAGCCTACGTTTCTTAATATGGTATTGAAGGCCCTTTGCTTTGGCCCCTGCCTACCTCTCTAGCCTCTCTCTTTTTTAAAAATCTTTTGCTTTTATCTTTTGTTTTTAAATGCATTCATTTTACAGTTGTGACTTTATTCTAACCTCATCTTCCATTCCCAACCTCACCAATACACATGCTTGTACTTCATGCTGTGTTCATATTGCTTCAAGTAGGCACTGAAAGTAACCATTCTTTTTAAAAGTTTTTAAAATTTTTTATTTATTGGTGTTAGAAGAGAGAAGCAGCAGTTTGTTTCACTTATTCATGCATTTATTGGTTGCTTCTTGTATGTGCTCCACCAGACATCGATCAATGGTGCTCTAACCGACCGAGCTACCTCTGCCTGGGCTAGCCATGCTTTCCTTAAATCTTTTTATGCATTCTGTCCCTTTTCCCTAAAATGCTCTTCCCTTGGCTGAAATCTGATGGCCTTAAAGATTTTAATCAAGTGTCTGCCCCTCTGGGAAGCATTCTTGGCTAATTCCTCCCACCCCCTCCAGCTAACGGGTGTGTGCTCATGCTGCAGGCTCCTCTCACTGACCACAGCCCTTGTTGTAACAGTTCTTCTACCCGTTTGTCTCCCCAGTGGACTGAGTCCTGAAGAACAAGGAGTATCTTTTTCAGTTCGGAATCCCCAATGCCTAGAATGGCATCAGGCTAAGTTGGCACTTGATAAGCATTTGCCAGGTGAATTTTTTATGCACCAGTTTCCAGGTATGCAAAGATACTGACTACGTGGATCTAGAGGAACTCATGGTCTAGTGCAGCAGTTCTAAAACTTTTTGGTCTAAAAACCCCTTACACTCTTAGAAATTAAGAGTGGCCTTTGAAGTAGGTTGTATCTACCAATACTTACCATATTCAACTGGAAACTGAGAAAATTTTAGGACATTCAGCCCTGGCTGGTGTGGCTCAGTGGGCTGAGTGCTGGTCTGAGAGCCGGGGGGCTGCCAGTTTGATTCCTGGTCTGTGGCGCACACCTGGGTTGGGGGCCAGGTCCCTGCTGGGGTGCTGACTAGATGCAACCACTCACTGATGTTTCTCTCCCTCTTTCTCCCTCCCTTCCCCTCTCTAAAAATAAATAAAATAAAAATTCATAGAAATAAGCCCATACACACAGTTTTTCATGAAAAACTATATTCACCCCCCCCCCAATTAGTGAAGATGTTATATTTTTGCAAATCTTCTTAATACGTGGCTTAATAGAGGACAGCTGGATTCTCAGAACCTACTTGGCTTTCTTCTGCTATATTTTGGTTTGAAGTACTATATATGAAGAAAACCTAGTCTCATTCAGAAGGGTGGGAAAAGATAATTTTTGAAGGGTGAGTTGTAATGTGGAACCTGCAACCATTATCAATAAACTTTTTTTTTTTTTTTTACTATTTTACATTAAAACCCATTGGTCTGTATTGCACTTTGGTTGGGTCTTTTACCCAGGGATAATTCTGTAGCATCATGCATCAGTCACTTGGAAAATACTGATTCACTGAGCTATGCAGATGTTCCAAATGTTGACACATTTCAGTATACCTTACTCAAAAAAAAAATCACATTCTTAACTATCAGGATTGGTTATAATAGGAAAGTCTGTTTTAAGTTTTGGGAAGTTTAAGTTGTGAAGCTCATGGTGGCAGATACAGGTTTTTAAAATTCTAATTTTCACTTGAAAGCTCCATTGTATCATTGGCAGTAAATACTGTCAGATTTTTCTCTGAATTGACAGACTCTGTTCCTCTCTAAGTTCTGCCTGCGACCCAAATTTGATAATCATGGTTTCTCTGCCAGTCATTCTTTCCCATCAGTGTGGAGTTCCATGAGGAAAGCAGCTGGCTCATCTCACAACTTGGAAAACCAAGTGCTTTCCTCAAGGCACTGCCACACCTCCTGTGCACAGCGGAAAGGCTCTATACTTACTTCCCGGTTCATCCCACAGAATATTGAAAAGACTTGTTATTCAAGAAATAGATTTAATAAGGTTTTACTGCTTCATCAATGACAGTCTTAAATGAAGCTAGCATTTATCTTTTAAATTGCTAGTGTGTGGTAGTAAGAATACAACGATTAGTAGACTGCCTTGATTTGTGCTAAAACAGTTTACCCACTAAGGTTTTTGCATCATCAGTACAAATGTTGACACTGTGACAAAGGAAAATAATGTTTTAGTATTACTATGAAAATAATCTTGACCTTATGGATCCCTGAAAGGGTCTTGGGAACCCCTATGCCTGAGGACACTTTAAGAACTGCTGGTCTAATGGGTATTCAAGTCTCTCCTCAGAAGGCTCCCTGAGGCATCACAAGTGAGAGGTATGTGTTTGGGGATGTGGAGACATGGCTGGGAAGTGGTAGCAGAAGTGAACAGCTGTCCTGAGCTCATAGCTGGAGTTCAAACAGTTTAGACTACCACTTGTTGGAGAGGTTGGAGAAGGGATTTGATCTCTAAGATCCTCAACTCATGATGCTGGGACATTAAATCTGGGGTTAGAGAGCCACAGCAGTGTGTACTGGAGTTGCCAGTCTTGCGTCAGGGAGGTGATAATACATCTCTATTTTCCAGTGCTTAGCACAGGCGTGGCTTAGTAAATATTGAATGAATTAATCAGAAGTGACAGGAGTAATGGTAGGAAGTTGGCACCTTCCTTAGTGAGCTGCCCTGCGGAGGACAAAGTAATTCCCTGTACTTTATACTGACTCTAACAGAGGAGGAGTAGATGCCATGGCTTCAGGGAGATGAAAGGTGCCCTGAGTAGTGGCAGATGGGCGGTGTTTGTGTTCCACTTGGAGGGAGAAGCAAGGAAATAACAAGCTGCACAACACGGTTGGTTAGAGAATCATGCATGAAAACAGTGGCAGACCCAAGGCCTCTGCCAGATAG